TTGATTGAATAAACTAAAGCAGTATTGCCAACACACAAAGGTAACAAGTGACTTGCATGATTTGAGATTAATCAATCATTGCATTATAAATTGTAAAACACGTTAGCAAAGCATAACATTGATATATTTTTATGCATTTCAGCTTACAACCTGCTGAACATCTTTTACGTCGTTTTAAAATGTTGACTTTTATGTACTTCGATTCTTTTAACTTGTAAAGAATAAATTACATTTTGATGTTTGACAACTGTAATATGAACTTTACTTATGAAGTTTAGTACCCAATATTGACTTGTCTGATTTCATGATCCAGAAAGATATCGGGTCATGGAAATGGTTGATTAGAGGCTTATCAATTTTAAAACAATTAGCGTTCTGTAGTTTTACTCTTAGAACTTAGGGTTTTTCATTAAAATAACGGCGTCGAGCTTTAAAACGTTCAATTTTGTATATTGAAGAATATTTTACGATTAAGAGTTAAGGATAAATTTCCAAATCTGGACGTTTAAAATAGCAACGCTTTTTATAGCTTTTATTTAACAAATGAATTAATGTGAATACATGTTTTTACCAAGATTTTATTAAATTTAATTATCCCAAAATAATTTATTGTTTTAAAGTTACTAACCTTTTAGAAATGGTCAAGATTAGATCTTTATACCGCGTAACTATTATAATAGTACATTTGTAAGGCATGGACGTTTAGGTTACTTGAGTTGATTACATAGTAAGAGTGTTATGTTTAATCTAACTCGAGATCGATATCATTCCAAACTATGTCGTACAATCAATATGCATCGCAATGTACAAGGGACTATCTGAACACAGCGCCATACATTGTAACGATGTGAATATGCATGAGGGACAGATTATGCAGATGATAACAGTACCATATGTTTATATGACCTTCGTGACGTAGAAACTCGTGCATAAAATTTACTGGGTAATTATTTATTAAACAGGTTGCCAGATAGGGCATAAGGCCCTAGGATTTTAAGTTAGGGCATAGCAAATACAAAAAAATAAAGAAACACGTTGGTTCAACATTTTAACATCATGTGTCTTTTGCGCAGGTAAAACGTTCAGAATTATTGCAGTAAGATCAATTTATGTTTGATCATTGTGGGGTTCAAGGAAATGTTCAATCAGTCGGCTAACACTCGTTAAGCCTCTCAGGTCAAAGGGGTTCCCTTTTAAAATGTAATCCGTAAAGTTTAACATGGTGGATTAAGGTTTATTGTTAGTAAATTAATCCCTTTTATCACACTGAAAATTCTTAAGTAAGATTACTGATGATCTATACATTTGAGCACTTGAAAGTGCTAAACGTGTTTTATATTAAAGTGCTTTACCGAAAACGAGGAACAGCACAATTATCCTAGTAAATTAAAAATTAATCTTTTACGTTCGTGAACTGCTTGGTTTACAGTTGTATATTTCATTGAAGATGAAATATTTGTATTGCGCCTACGACTATTTGATAAGTAGTATTATCTAAATAGCGTTTAATTGCCATCTAAAAAAATAAAATCTAAGGATTGATAATGTAAGTAAACTCAACACTAGTGTTTGAAAATACATTTTCAAAAGGTTGTTTTGCCGCTAAGACAAGACGACGGTACCAAATTTATAAATTTCATCGAATATATTTTTTTCTGCAGTTCTATAAATCGCTTTATAAATTGATAATGAAACCAGTTAAAGCTATAAATTGTATTAAATCGTATACTGACGATTCTTTCCTTTACAATCAAATGTCTCACACCATTCTAGAATATCTACTAACGGAAATCATTTATGATAGCAAAGGTGTTATCTTAAATAGTTTTAGGAGTTAAAACAGTTCAAAATTTAAAATAGGTTAAGAAGTTTTAAGTATTAGTCATAAAAGTACACTAAACAGAATATTGTGCATGAATAAATTGAAGAGCGTTTTTTATCTTGATAAAAAAGAAACAAATTGTGAAAATGTAAAAGTGTTGCAGATTCTCAAGCTTTCGGCTTAAATGGTCTCCTTTCCAATACCTCAATTAAAATTTTGATATGAATAGTATTCAGGAGATTTTAAGTTGTTTTACTTTTCTTTCGTGTACATAACTTCTTTACATACACATTGAAATGTAATAATAAATAGGGTTGTTGAATTGGTAAAGTGGAACTATTTCACTTATAATACAAATAATAATAATAAACTTTAGGAATAAGATACTTATTAGAAAATAGCGGTCATATTTTCAGAATTCGAAATCCCCCGAGAGATTTAAAAAAAAGGGAGTGCCCCATAAGAAGTTTACTGTCCTTCTCATAATAAGAAAGTTAGATATTGTCACACTTTATCTGGTCCAATCTGTATTAATGAACACAGCAGTATTCAGTAAAAATATTTTAAACGCTAAAGTTCTCTACAAACGGATCTTATTAAATATGTAAACTGTTCGGAAACCTTACATAGAGGATGCGATTGTATTCGTACAACAAAATAATAATCCATCAAAGGACTTTACAACTGAACATAGAATAGGAAAAACCCGTACCAATCACGAAGCAGTATATTTTTACTCTGATTCAATTGATGCGATCAACTTACACAGTAAGAATTATCATCAGAAACAGCATTACGTTATAAGTTATAGTGTTTTTAACAAACATAAATGCCATCACTTGTGTTTTTCAAATAATGAAAATCGATCCATAGGCATTTTCTTAATACTATTATTATAACAGAACGTGTATTCATAATTACTAAGTGTCATTATAAAACGATTTCTGTCCCCGCAATGTAGAAGATTCAGTCCCCTTGTATATAAAGTTCTAAAAAAGTCACAAAACATTAGACAGTTGATAGAGATAATAATTGGGTTGTTTTCAGTTAAATTTCATATTAGTGTTGTTTGCTTTGTCCAATGTCATTCAAAATTTTCTTTTATTATAAAATATCCAAGCTTTTTAAATTATCTCTTTTATTGTGTACTGTTAGGGGCAACCTTACTTTCTAATGTGCGTTTGTCAATAGGGTATATTACACTCATCTGAAAAGATTTAAAATGTTCACTTAATACATTCAAGCTTAATAAACCTACAGATCCTCTTGATTACAACACCTCGGCAAAATGTCTACATTTTCGTAAACTTACCAAAGGAGTCAGCCCTTACTTACACAATTTTTTAGTCTATCCTTAGGAGGTTTAGACAGTTATTGACAGTTTATTTTACTCACAAAATAAAAGACATTATCTTGTATACTACTGCTAATACACATAACATGTCTCTGTCAACAATCCAGCAATACTGGCTTTCGCCCAAAGTATTTCATAAGTACTTGTAGTTTGTACTTACTGTCTTTTTTAACATATTTTTATACCAAGAAAGCTTAAGGAAAAATCCAGTTTTGTGTCATTTTTCATTGTGTGAGCCTTATGAACTGTTTGAAAATAATGATTCTAAATTGTTTATGTTCATTCGTATATTTAAAGATGTATTCCTATGAGTGTTTGGTTAGGATATCGTTACAAATTGAAAGATTAAGAGCAACAATTATAACATTAGCACTGACATTTAAAGATTATCAGTTCAAAGAATTTGATAAATTTACCCCGAAACTTCTTTCGAAAAAATTATCCACGTAATTGTAAAAGTATGGTCTGAATTAGGGAAACAAGTAATCTAAATACTAGAAAATGTATTCATACTTTAAATTACGTTTCATAGAAATATCTTGCGAAGCTGTTTTTTTAGCTAATGTATTTTTTAATGTAGTAAATATGAAGAGGAAAGCTGTCTACGTATATTGGTCATCGAGATAGTACGAGAATTATTCTTATTTTATTGCGTATTGGTTATAAAATCATCTTTGATGGTTAAACTTATTTTGGTGTTCTGATTTATACAGGGCATCCAATTTTATGAATGCAGCTATAGCATGAGGCAATATGCGAAGTAAAGATGACCCTTTGCAGTGTTAGGTGATGTGATCTGCATGTTATGTCAGAGACAGATAGACAGGCAACCCCTGTGTTGTCCTGTGGAGAGTAAGTTATTATTCTGGATAACGTCGAGATAAAACCCATTTAGACAGTAGCTTATTATAACATGTAGTGTTAAAGAAATTTCTGAATGTAAATATTACATCTAAGATAATTTGATTATTTTAATATTGTACAATGTTGTGTTGTATAGTTTATTATGGACTTAAAATAACTTGGGCCTAAACATGCAAAGTTATTAAATTATCTATATAGATATAGCATACTTTTTGACATTTTCGATACTTGTTAACCTTAAAACTGCCTCTACACTATTGTTATTGGACTTAAACAAACGCTGTGATCTGTATTTTCCATCACGTTTCGTCTGCTTTGACAAGAAAATTAAAACATTTACATATCCACGATTGAAAAGCTTGAAAACTGTTACTTTTCAGGGTTTTGTTATAATTAATAATATAATTAGTTATTCTTATTGATTCAATCTAATCTAATGTTATGCTATAGTATAAGTATGCTATATGTAATATTTAATAGTAAGGATGTTGCAATAGATGGTTTATGTTGTAACAAGTAAAAACGATTTTATAAAAAAATAAATGTTTCTTAAATACGATTTAGGAAAAGATACACAGTAACATGACACAGAGATAAAGCGCAGCCCTTTGTTAGTGAGAGGTCTGGTACAATGTATTGTCGGAGACAGGTAGTCTTTGTATTTGAGTTACGTATCTTTCTGTTCTTTGCTAAGGTATCCCACAATATAAAAAGAAGAAGGCTGTTGACCTTATCCAATAAGTAAATTAGCAGTATATATGAATAAGTCCAAATATAACTTTATGCTCAGATCAAATTTATTATTAACTACTTAAGTTAACGATGCTATGTAACAAATGATATTAAGATGTATATTAAGATGTATGTATTAAGATATTTGTTGAAGTATCACGCCCTGAAGACACTCTCCGTCTACAAGCTAGCCTAACCGCTATCCACGATTGGTGCGTTTCTAACAACATGACCCTGAACGTGTCAAAGTGCTCCAGTATGACTTTCAGTAAGATTCGCGCTCCATACATGGTAGAATATTCCATCACAAACCAGCCTCTAAAGAGAGTCTCAATGGTGAAAGACTTGGGAGTGATTTTCTCATCGGACTTCTCCTTCGATGAGCATGTGGATTACTTATGTAAAAGAGCCAATCAGTTGCTGGGCTTCCTATTTCGGGCTACCCGTGGGCTAACAAATGCCATTGCTTTAAAGACTCTGTATTGCTCCCTGATCCGACAGCTGTTGGAGTACGCCAGCCCAGTTTGGTCACCCTTCCACCTTGGGTCCATCAACAAACTCGAAGGGATCCAGAAGAAATACATCAGATTTCTCGGTGCCCGTCAAGGCATGCAGTACCGTGAAGTCCCAGTGGCCGTCTTCCTAAACAATTTAAACCTACTAGATCTTCACTTGAGACGCTGTGTGGCAGACGTTGTTTTCCTCCACAAACTCCTCAATGGCCAAATTGACTGCCCTGCTTTACTTGCCGAAGTGGACCTTCGTGTGCCTTCTGGAACCCGTTCGCAGGATCTGTTTGGCAAGAGGCACTTCAGTAGCCAATACGAGTATCACGCTCCTCTTGCAAGATTTCTTCGTCTTGGAAACACTTTGGGGGCCAGTATCGACTTCTTCGGAGACACCACGAGGACTTTTCGAAGGAAGGCTACGGTCCGGTTGACTTCCCTGCGCCAGCAACAAAATTTATTGTAGGTTATTATATTTGTTATATAGATAGGTTTGAATATTTATTAATCAATGTGCATGTAAACTGAGCTGTGTTTTTTGTCTTGTTGATCTCTTAAAATGTTTATTTATATATTTATCTGTTTTCCTGTTAATATCTATTTATTGAATTATATAAATGCATATTTGTTTATAATTTTAAGATTTAAGTATCGTAATCATTTTTGTAATGGTCTTTGCCGTTGGAATGTAAATAAAATAAATAAAATAAAATAAAATAAAATAAAATGGTAGCAAAAAGTTAACAATAGGAGTGTGCGAACATTCTCTGAAACAAAAATGTATATAAAATAAAACTATAGTTGAACAACAAAAACAGAGTAGTATTTTCATCTTTGTTATAAGATTTATGGGTTTTCATAAGTTCAAGCGAGTTTATAGTAATAGAGTCGAATATTAAGAGAAAACCTGAAAATAAATTCAGCCAAACTGCTGTTTCAATTAAATAACAGCATTACTAAGTTTAACCCCGTTATTATTATCATTATTATTTATTATTAACACAGAGGTTGACACAAAACAAATCATATTGTCTTGTTATTTTTATCGAATAAAAGTTTTTTTTCCTTTTTATCTTTCTTAAATTCACCGTCTAAAGTATATATTATATTTGAAAAATGGTAAAAAATATAATAAGTTTCTCCTCCATTACAGCTTAGTCTCAATGAGCCTCAATGCAGTTTCAATGGTCGTGTTAGCTGACGAAGATGATTAGAGAATTTTTAGATCATCTGTGTAAATGATTATACTAAACTAGTCTTAAGTTTAAAGACTTTAAGAAAACAAATCCTAAGCTTCTATAGCATATTTATATGGTAATTGTAAATGTATTTACAATTCAAAAAAAAGAAATGAAAAACAAACAATAAAACAATTGTAATTTTGAACTCTGTTATATTAGTAGATTTATACAACTTTCAAAATAACACAATCCATCGCTGTTTATGTTATTATCAATTTTCCTAAACATTAAGTAAAATCTTGAAATGTTTTTAATGGATAAGTAAATATCTTGACAAAGCCTCAGGTTTATGTAATCTAATAATTTAACTTTTTTAAATGGTTTATTGTTTTATTCATTCATAAATTTTGTTTTTACTTATTATAAACAATGTTTATAAATAACCATTGTATCTGTTTCTCAACTAAGAAGGTCATAAATGATAGACGTAAACATCAATTGGACCAGTAACTGAGTTTAAGTTTACTGTGTGCTTCGTTTTCGGTAGCAGATTGAATTGAGTGGGCGTCGCTTACAAGATCAGTTTATAGACAACGTAGTCTTCTTGAATGGATGTAATGAATTACAATCATACAACCATTTATCAATGTTAAGAGATTCAAAAGAAATTAGTACGACAATTTGTTTAGATTTTTTACTTTGGTTTCCATGAGTTTATGATACTTATTTGGTGAGAAAGGCTTTTTTTTATAAAACGAAATTATGGAAGGAATTAATGACTTAGCATTGGTAACATAGAACACACCACTCTTATATTTTGAAAATAAATGCCACTGATATTTCAGCACATACTATCCGAAGAAATAATATAAGTCAGATATTTAGAGTCTTAACGAAACTAAATAATTATATCAATTAATTGCTTATCATAAAGAATGAAAGAATCTTTAATTTTAATCTTTCCAAAGCTAGGATTACGAAAGATTTAATGAAGATTTAAGGAGGACTTAGGCTGTATAGCTTAATCAAAATTATAAATAAACCCAAACCAATTTTTAGACATGTATGTTTTGTTGGGTAAAAAGGATCCATAGAACTATTAAACAAAGGGATGGAGGTTGAATTGACAGATGCGGTTGCTGAAACAACTTTTTATGATAAACAGAAGAGTTTGGTGCGAGTCTATAATGAAAGTTATCCCAACTTTTTTACAGTCGACGCAGCAAAATAAAAAGCATGGCGTATAAGGAAACATAAAATTAGATGCGTATTAATTCACGTAGTATTAGGGTAAAATTAAATAATAAACGTACAACCTTTTTATATCAACTCAAGAATTTGTCTTTGTTGCCTAATACTTATACCATAGTAACTAATAATACATAGAACACATATATACATATATACATCCCTATAACATATATACATTACTATAATACGGGGGAGCGAGCTGGTGTAGTGGTTTGAGCGCGGGTCCCTGATGTCTCTGGTTCAAATCCACCAAATCACCACTAGAATTTATCTAAGTCATAATACCGCAACCCCCAGACTCGGATTGTGTAAAACAATTCCAGGCTCGTCCCAGGACAAAGAAGAAAAAAAATATACTACTTAATTAAGTATATTTAAAATAATTTACACCAATTCACTAAGGTTTCATGACCTCCTCATATGTAAGGCAAAACAAATTGTATCATGTTAAAAGTTTCGGGGTAGAGCTAATGGTTGTTAGGTTGTCAGAATGATAATATCTGAATCCGATAATATCCATGCCATGTACTATCTTGAATATTTCAAATGGGATTAGATATTTGGACAATTGTTTTACTCAAAGATATTAAAGGCAAAACATAATACAATGCTGTGTAGTTATTTATTTTGGCATTTAAAGGCTTTAAAATAATTTTTAACATTGACAAAAGGCAAATTTTATACAAATGACCAATAAAAAATACGTTTGAAGAATTGATACCCCTAATAAAATTGATCTTAAAGACGTGCTCAGTAATTTATTTTCGTCTTAAATATTTTCTCTCTTTCATACTGTCACGTGAAAAACATAAAACGCTATTGCCAGTGTTGTGTTTATCATCTGCTTCACCAAAATATAATAGCTTGGTGGTTAACTGTTAAAGAATAGATTGGTTTTCAATTGTGCAATTTAGTTTTTCTCCTGGTTTATATGGAAATATGGTTACGTGTAACTATGACTTTTATAAATTCTGTACATTTATTAAAAAAGTAGTAGAATATACCAGTATTCTTAATCAAACGAAAACAAACAATGTAATTCAGTATGATTAATACAAAATATTTCATCAACCTTTATCTGAGTAATTGTTTTTTACGGTTGTAGCCCTACTCAATCTCATTAAATATTTAAACATTTTTTCTTTTTTTATATTTTGAGAACTGTTTTCACAATTTGGTTTATTGTACACTTTAGGCTACGGAGGAACTACATTGAAGCAAGTATTTACCGTGACACCAACTGTGGTTCATCCTTTTGCTTTTTGCAAACAAAGAGGATTAAAGGGGATTTAGTAATTTAAAAAAAGCAGTAGACCGTATAAATCTATTGAAATTCTCGTTTAATCCACGAAATGGATTTGACATCGTGTCTTGACTGCATGTGGGTACTGCTTGTTGTATGGGAAAATACGGCTGTACTGGGGATGATAGTATTATTATGAATAGTTATAATAGTGATACATAAAAGCCAATGCTTCCTTGTACACACTTTACTTAGATATCACGAATAGCATAATCATTTTAAAGACATTTTTTCTTAGTCACTTTGCAAAAAAAATCCTTACGTTAGTTTTCGTGAAATATTGTTCACATGCATTACTAAGCCGTTTATTGAATATATTAATACTGGAATGAACAATATTGAGGATTTTACTAGCAAAATTATCATATTTGTATCAACTAGCACGCAGATGCACATATATATTACTTGTTTTATAGTTTAAATTAGTTTTTTTTCATCGAAGTATAACTTAGATGTCTCCTAATACCTCCACTCGGGAGAAAAATACAAGAAAACCAGGATAGCCAGTAGGAAAACAAAAGCTTCAAAATTGTGGTCTTACTTGTGATCTCATAGGGTTTTGGCAATTAACTAGACTCTAGCACGTTGGACCATCCTCGGTACGTAGGAAAAACTATTCAAAATAGTTTTGATATTTTAATTTTACTTGTAATTACAGAGCCTTCAGTATCAACGTAACTCTACGTTCTTCAATAGAGAATTTATTCTTAACAGTAAATGTAAATATTCTCAACCCATTTGGTAGTAGAATTATACTTAATTATTCGGACGAAGGTTCAGGCTTTGTTTACAAAGACCCAGACTAATAATATCATTGTTTAGGGTTTTCTCCATTTACTTAGTATGTTCTGATTATTCAATGTTAACACATTCTATCCTGAATTTTATGCTATTAAATGTTCTGCAATGTAATGTTTACATATTTATTTTTTAAGCACAACTACAATATTTTATACAATTTAGCAGAAATATTTTGGATTAATTAAGTTTACGGGCTATGTATATCACAATGCTTGTAATACTAAGATTTTCTAGTTCCTACTATTTTAAAGCTACATTCCTTGGTTAAAGGTGGAAAGGCACTACTTTAAATACAATTTAGGGATTTTCGTCATTTTCAGTATGTGAGGAATTTTACTGTAAAAATCATGTGGTTTTCATTACACGAAAAGGATGTATTTCAACTATTTAGATTTATATTGCCATAACCGCTGTATCTATCTCTACAAAACTTCTTTTGATCAACGAACCATTTTTGTTGAAACAATTACTATTCGAACTAGTCTTTACTTTGATGAGTATTACGATTAATGGCTGTTTAAAACATGTTGCATAACTATGGGATTTTAAAATCTTATATAAAAACGGCCATAGACAAATAATAGATGAATATATGTTAAGTTTCATAAAACAAACAGTATTTTATTTAAAAGCGGGATCTTTTGTCATGCTTGGATCATATAATTTATATCTTATATTGCAGGTTTGTACAGGTAGTTATTCACAGATTTAGGACAGCTATAATAGTTTATTAGGATGAGTTATTTAATAGAAGAGGCTAAACGGGTTTTTATCAAACGAAAATTGGATGTTAGGATCTTTTTGGACAATATGTACTTTTATATGTAACATTTAAAAGATATGGCGCAAAAATTCAATAAAACCTTATATACAATAAAAATCACATGTTAATAACTCTCATTAGAAAACAATTCTAGCCATTTAATGTAA